TGAACAGCAGGTGCAAAGATCCTGACGCTTGGAAGAGTCTTCCTTGAGAGAGTTGGGACTTTCTGTCCTAGAGAATCACTGTCTTTGCCTCAACCCATGGGGTGGTGGCAAAAGAGTGGGATTCGAATCTGGGACTCCTACAACCCTACCCTGTTTATCCCTTTCACACAGAGAGACCGTGAGATCTAGCCGTCCATTTCTGCACTTAAGGAACCTCATTTGGACTCCCCACAAGAAGGCTGGGAAAGAGAGGCCAGCCTTCTCTGTGGTGTTGAGGATCAGCGGGTCACCCTGTACATGAACAAGTTGGGGGAGTCACTGCTGGGGAGCAGTAGCCTGTGAATTGGAGCCTGTCCTTCGTTCACCCATCTACTGCATATTTATTGAGCCAGGCACTATGCTTGACCCCAGCAGTGAGTAAAATGAACAAAGTCGTACCCACGTGTGGCTTATAGTCTAGTGGAAAAGAGGGACAAGGCACAAGTAGGCCAATAAATATGACTCTGTCAGATGGTGATGGGTGCTTTGGAGAGCAGGAAAGCTGGGGGAGGTCGGGGTGGGGTCATCTTGCTATTTTGAATAGAGTGGTCAGAGAAGGACTCTGGTAAGGTAAACATTTGAGCAGAGACCTTGGAGGAAGTGAGGGAGTGACTCACGTGGACAGCTAAGGAGGAATTTTCCAGGCAGGCAGAGGGGAAGAAGCAGGCTCTATCCCAGGAGCCTGGCCTGGGCCTTAGACAAGCTGTGTGATCTGGGACCCTCCACGTCTCTGAGCCTCAGTTATCTAATCTGGGTAATGGGGGTAATGATAGATCGGATTGCCTGTGAAGGGCACGGCCCCAGCCTGGCACTCAGGAGATCCTTATTAAACCGCTACTTTGAGGGTGCCAATGATGACAGCCCCCCAGACAGCTGGAGCCTTAGCTACATGCAACGTGCATCCTGAGCGGCTGCTTCAAACTGACCTGTTATTATGCTCTGAGAACCCAAGAGGGCAGAGTGAAGCCTGGAGTGGAGCCATTAATTTGGAGTAGGGGTGCAGTTTACAGATGTCTGCCTAGAGGGGCACCATTATGGCTGGGTTGTCTTTCTTAATTACACTAGTGAAACAGTGTAAAAACCAGACTTTACACAAGTATTTGGAAGCTTCTGGTCATCCTCCCCCCCAGAGATAACCACTATTTATAGTTTAGGGCTTATTCTCTGACTTTTTCCCATATATATTGGTTTTGTTTCATTTTGTTTTTATGGAGAAGGGATCATACTATATGTCATGTGCTGCTGTATCACTGATGCCGGACCAGCAGCCTGGAGTTTGTCAAAAATGCAGAGTCTCAGGCCCCATTCATGACCTGCTGGATCCCAACCTACATTTAAGAAGAACCAAGAACCCCAGGAGATTCCTGTGGACATCAAAGTTGGAGAAGCTCTGATATATATTTTATGTGCAACTCGCTTTTTTAGTAACATTAAGTCTTTGACGTCTTAGTGTAAGAACAGACAGATTGGTCACGTTCCTTGTTAATAGCTGCATAGTTTTCCACTGCTTGACAGTGCCCTGGTTTCATTCCCTGGTCTGCTAAAAATGGCTGTGCTGGGCTTGAAGAACGGATGAAAAAAATACCAATGAGGGGTGTGAGAAAGGGCCCATGTTCTGGACAGAGGAACCAGCATATGCAAAAGTATGGGATCAGAAAGGAAAGGAACCTGAAATCTACCCTGGCCTCAGTTTCCCACAGTGCTTGGTGTGGACTGGAGGAGGGCCACTGCAGATGGTCCTCCCCAGGTGCTGAGAAGCTGGGGGCCCTGAGGGCCGAAGAATTAAGCGAGAATCTTAGAAATAGCTTTGACCCTCTGCTTTGAGCAGCAGAGAGGGAGGATTCCCTCTGGAGTTCCCACAGCTTTAACTACCAACGGTGCTGGGCAGCTTAACAACAGGAACATTCACCGTGCATTTCCTCCTGAGAGAGTCAACCCTCGGGAGGAAGACGTTTCCATCAGCCCTCTCTGACAGGTGAGGTTAATGAGGAAGGTCTCTATGGTCACAAAGCCAGGTGTAGTGTAAATGCTGACAATGAGCCTTTTGATTGTAATGCAAGTGCCTCGAGTTAAGCTTTTGATTGCGGAGCCATCCATTTCAAAGACATCCATCTCTGATAAACACATTGCCACCTACACAACTAAATAAAGAGCCGGTCTGCCCCACCTATGAAGTTCCTCTTTTAGAAAGTCCTGGTGACCTAGATAACGGACTATTTGAAGGACCCTGCTTTTCCCTTCCCACACTTAATTCCTGCTCGTATGTTTTAAATTCGTATGTTTTAAATAAACCCGCAAAACCCTAGGCACCCCACCCTTGACTCCAATAAAGGTAGAACCCCAGGTCCACTCTCTCTCTTTCTCTCTCTACCCGCAACCTTGCTGTGTGGCCCCCAGTGTACCATGTACCCTGCAGGACTCGTGGGACTAATGGGTGTCACTGAGGTGCGTCTTGCAATCATAGTAAGAGCTACAAGGGCCCATGCAATCACAACATTGGCTTTGGTGGGGGAAATGTCTGTAGGGGCTGCCGCAAGTAGTTGGGGCCCAGGTGAGAGCCCCCAGGCATTGCCAGCTAATAGCATCCCTATCGATAGGCTGAGACTGACACAAAACGCCAGGAAGTGATGGAGTCAAGACATGAACAGAGGCTGGTGTGACTCAGAGCTTCCATATTTACAGGCTACAACACATGAGCTCTTGTAACCTATACATTTTTTTTAAGATTTTATTTTTCCTTTTTCTCCCCAAAGCCCCCCAGTACATAGTTGTATATCTCAGTTGTGGGTCCTTCTAGTTGTGGCATGTGGGGTGCCACCTCAGCATGGCCTGATGAGCGGTGCCATGTCCACACCCAGGACTCAAAGTGGCGAAACCCTGGGCCGCCAAAGCAGAGCTTATGAACTTAACCACTCAGCCACGGTGCTGGCCCCCTAACCTATACATTTTTAATGCACATAAAATAAAACACTTTCTGATAGGGTTTCTGTGTGCATACAGTAGGCACTCAATAAATGCCAGTTGCATTGCATTGGACAGTGGCCTTATTATACAGCTCCTGGGTCAAGCCATTATATTTAGTCACTAGCTCTGTTCAGTGTCTGGGCCTTGGGATTCATTCATTTATTCATTTATTCTTCAACATGTATTGATCAGTGGCTATTTCGTGCCGGACCTCAAGCAAGACACAGAGAGGTGAAGAGGTTAATAAGATGCAGGGCTTCTCCTGCTAGAATGTGGCTTCACAGGGGAGAGAAAGACTAGCTAAGCAGACCAGGTGCATGAAGCAAGGGCACCTGGCCCCGTCTAGGGCAAGGTCACTGCTGAGGAAGCAGCTGGGCCAGGCCGAGGCGCACACAGTGCCCTCCTCTGCATGGCTGGGGCCTGGGCACCAAGATTCCTCAGGGGCTTTGGACACTGATAGTCCAGGCGTCTGTGCTTGCACTGCCCCATTGCACAGTGAGGAGTCCCCATGAGCCGAGAACAGGTCAGGTGCCCATGCATGCTGCTAGTAGATGCATGAGGGTCAAGGGCACGGGTTCCGAAGCCAGACAGCCTGGTGTTCAAATCCCACCTCTGCCGCTTTCTAACCCAATGACCTTGGTCAAGTCACCTCACTTCCCTGACCCTGCGTTTATTCATCTGTAAGAGGGGAATCACAATATTGTCTAACTCATAGGGTTGTGCAAGGAGGATTCAGTGATATAATAAAAATTTAGTTAAAACATGGGAACAGTGCCTAGAACAGGGAATAATTAGAGCTACGATCAGTGTAATTATAATCATCATCACCATTGTGCCGTCCGAAGAAACTTCAGTCTTGTGGCGGTAGCAGAGGGAGTCATCTCTTGATGAGAGGGATCAAGTATCAGAAATGTGCCAGGATTTGTGGGAGACACAGAGTTGGGTCTACAGGCCTGGATTGGGAGCCAGCTGTGTCCCTGGATGGCTCAGCCTATGGGAATCCCAAGCCCCACTGGGCTCCAGATGGCCCAATTCCCTTCAGAGAAGGGGGCTTTGAGGGTATGACCAGCCATCAGGGAAGGCCTTCCAAGGAGGTGACGTTTGAGCTGAGCTGGGAAGACTGCACAGCAATTGGCCTGGTGAGGAGTGAGGCATGGGGGTGCATTGTGAGGGAAGTTTGGTACCTTGGGGACAGAAGGCAGCCTCCATGGCTGGACATGGTAAGGAGGGTGAGAGAGAACCCATTACCCTCAAGTCAGTCCTGACCAGCAGAGATGGCCAAACTAAGTTCCTAAGTCAGGAGGGGTCCTGCCCTGGGTCACTCTGGAAGGAAGCGGCAGCAACAAGGTTGTCCCATCCTGCCACTCCCTGCCTCTGTTGTCTGTCTCCCTCACCCTGTTTATTTATAGGTAAAGGCACAGGTGGGTGACAGTGACTGGTGATGCTGCATGACAAGCATATGGTGTTACATTTTTCTCTGCCTCTAGTCTGACCTGGAGCTGTCACCGAGCACAGCCTGTTCCTGTGATTCCTGGGCTGGGTGTCTGGTTGTGGGTCCACTCTATTACCTGTGTCTGTGAGCTGGGTGCCTTGATGGGGTCCACCTCCATGGGGTGATGGACACAGATGTCATGGAGGGAAGAGCTGCTACGATGAACACCAACCTGAGGAAGGAGGAAGGAAATTGCACACTAGAGTCATTCATTCATCCGCTCACTCATTTAATTGACCTTTCCCAGGCAATCACGATGCGCAGGATTCTGAGCTGGTGTCCCAATGACACAGCGGCAACTCAGCAGCTGCTTTCCGCTGCTAAGGGGCACATGACATTACTGAAGGCAGAAATAATGCCAAGTGAGGAAGTGGCAGGTTACAAGACAAAGACACCATAATCAATAGCTGGCTAGAAAGTGTACTGGGAAAATAGCAATAATAACCACCATAGAAACTTCACAGGCGCTTGATTAAGAATCCTGAAAGATGACATAACGCGAGGCTTGAATAAATGGAGACATTTACTTCATTCTTAAACGGAAAAACTTGGGATAAAGATATCAGCTCTTCTCCATGTAAACACATTTCACGCAACACCAGCTGAAATTCTGATGGGGTTGGGGGCAGGGGGAGGAGTTTGACAAAATCATTTTATAATTTAACTGAAAAAATTTACATGATTGGGAATTGGCAAGAAATTTTTTATAAAGTATAATGATGTCGGGGCCTTGTGCTATCAGGCATTAAAATATATTCCAAAATTATAATAACCACACTATGGGATATCATCACGGGAAGAGACAGGTAGCAGAATAGGTCTGGACATAGATCCACTGAGTATAAGAGTTTATTTTGTGATGAAAGTGCATCTCAAATTAGGAGGAAGAAAGAGGCCCCCAGGAGATGCGACAGCCTCTGACTTCATCTGGAATGCAAAGAGGCAGGGCCACTCTTCTCCTTCTCAACATGTTCCGTTTGGGACCTTTGCCTGCAAGGAAGTGATTAAAAGCAATTAACATGAGTCTAGCCCCAAACAGTGTCCCGAGAGTATTCCCATCCACTATCTGGTCTGGTCTTTAAGGAGGCACCACAAGGTCATATACACTCAAAAAAATGTTCGCTCCCTCCCTGTGATAAAACCATCCAAACCGCTCACAGCAAATTAGAAAAAAAGGAGAGAAAGTGAAAAACGCCCATGAGCCCACTGCACACATATTTCTTCTTTCCAAAATCAAGATCATAATGTGCACGCAGTTTTGTAACCTGCTGAGTTCACTTCACATCTCACATCATATTGTGTTTAAATATCCTTTGATATTTAAAACCTAATTTCGATGGCTGTGTGCTATTCCTGAAGAGACAGACACCAGGATTTATTTAGTTGTTCCTCTTAAGCTGATTATTTTCCACAGCTATTATAAATAATGTTTCTGTGAATGACCTGCTGGCTTTTAAAAGACTCGTTTCTGACTTTTTTCTTGGGTTAGATTCCTACAAGAAAGGTTACCAGGTCAAAGTGCAGAACACAATCAAGAGTCTTGTTAGAGAATTTGCAGATCTCTTTTCAGAAAGATGAACCAACACAGGAAGCGAGCGCTGGCTTCCCTACCTTCACCAGCATGAGCATTATTTTTAGTTTTTTTACTTTGGCAATTTGCTAAGCGTGCTCTGTGCCAGGTGCCAGTGCTGAGCATTATGTAATATCATCCTCACACTCCCCTCACCCCCGGGGGCGCCCATTTTAGAGACAAGGAAACCGGCTCAGAGAGGGTTCCTGCGCCGGCCGGGATCGTGAGCTACACGGAAGCGGAGCCCGGACCCCTCCAAGGCCAGCAGCCGCATCAACCTGGTTGCGAGCCCGCAAGATTTTGCTTCGGCCCCTCCCCTCCTCCCCCACTGTCTGTGTCTTGGTTCTCACCAGAGTGAGTTTTCTAACCTGGGTGCATGTGATGCTGTCACAGCCCTCCCTAGCCCTCCCTGGCCTCCGGAGATAAAGCTCAGCTGCTTAGGCCGGTCTTTCAAGTCCCCACCATCCAGGCTGCCCTTCCACCCAAAGGCGCAACGTCCCGCTGACCCCGGCCCCGCCCCGCGCTCCGGGCACTCTAGGCCACTTTCGCGCCTCCAAGTCCAGGCGGAGTTAGGCACCTGTGCGGTCGCCCCGCGCTGCAGTAGAGCCGGCCCAGAGCTTAGGGCAGCGCTTGTCACATGACTTGCAGTGATTGGCTGACACTGCGGTCTCCGCCACGGGGGCAGGCCTCGGGTCTGCGCGTCCCTAGCGCCACCGCGCGCCCTACCCGCACACAGTCGGCGCTTAAGGCAAAGGGAGCGAAGAGCCCAAGGCTGTTACAGTTGTGGAAGGCTTTGCTACTTAGTAACCACTAACCGACTTAGTAACTGCGCGGCTGCGGCAGCCCTGCCAGATTGTTCGGCTCAGTGACCCCGTGTGGGGACCGAGGAGAGGGGCGCCGGGACGCGGGACAGAGTCACAGTTGAAGGGTCCTCCCGGGCAGGACCATTTCAGAGGCAGGATGAGCGCCGTTTTTCATCACTGAACTCAGCCCTCCTCGCCCCGTCCTGAGTCAAATCAAAGTTGAAAAAACACTTTCAAACGGACCTCCCCGCGCCCTTCTAGGGCAATTCTTCTGCCCGCCCGCGCCTATCGCCCTCTCGTCGGGTCTCGGTGTCCCAATGGACAGCGGTCGGCTGCACGCCCCCTCCCATCCCAACCCCGCGCGGGGCCGGGGATCGCGGGACAGTGGCGGCCGCGGGGCGGTCGGTTGGGGACGGTCCTCCTGGAAGTCGCCCTCGATGTCGCCGCCAGACGACAGACCCCTCTGGACAGCAGACGGACCTTGGGCTCAGAGCCGACCCTGCCCAATGCGGAGGACGCGCGACGGAGGGTCTGCGCCGCCCGAGGCCCCCTCGCAGCCGGGAGCCGAGCCCGCGGCCCGCCAGGCGCCGGGTGAGCGGGCGCCGCCCCGCCCCGTGAGCCGGGCGTGGGGCAGGCGCTCGCGGCGCGGCCGGCGGCACCGGGACCTCCGGGCCTCCAGGGGGCGCTGCACCGGCGCGGCCCGCAGACGGGCCCTCGGAGCGGACAGGCCCCGGCGGAGGCGCTGGGGGCCGGAGCCGCGAGCGGCGAGCCGCAGGCCTCCGCCCGCGCGTGGGGGTGGCGCGACCGCGGAGGGGCAGCGGGGAGGGGACCGCGCGGGGCGGCGAGGCGCGCGCGCCGGGGACGCGGGGCCCGGACGTGAGGCTTGGGGCCCCTTGAATGGAGGCTGCGGGCTTCGCGGGCAGGTGGGGCTCCCGGATCTGATGTGTAACGCAGGCGGCACCTACAGAGGAAGCGGGGAGCGGAATGGGGGTGGGGGATTCGGGGAGAGAGAAGCCTTCCTCCTACCTTGTTCCTGGGCCAAAGTGAAAGGTTGGGGGTGCTGTTGTTATTGACACAAAATAGGCACGAAGGAGGGAGACGGTGGGAGTGTTGTCGAAGGGGGTGTGAGTGGGAGCGGCTGGCATTGGGACATGATTGGCGCAGGGCACGGCTGAAGGGTGGGCTGGGGAGACGGATTGGGGTCGGACGCTCCTCCTGGAAGGGTCGAGCTGTGGGAGTTGGAGAGATCGAGGGCGGGGTTGGGCATTTGCAGGAGAGACTGTTGGCAGGATTTGGGGGAAGTTGGAGGGAAGATACCTGAAGCCTGCTGTTAGTGGCAGATTTGGAGGTATTGAAAGGATGGGGGGCCCATGTGGCATGCTCTCGCCAGGACTGGGAGTGTAGCTGTGAAGCTCAGCGGGCAGTCTCTGAGGGCCGTGGGCTGGCGTGGGTGACCATGGGTGAGAGGGGCGCTGGACTGACGTGTGGTGGGGATCCAGGCCTTCCTCCCCTGCCTCCCCCAGCCGCCATGTTCAACCAGCAGCAGCAACTCCAGCAGCAGCAGCTCCAGCAATTACAGCAGCAGCAGCTCCAGCAGCAGCAACAGATGCTCCAGCAGCTGCTCCAGCAGTCCCCTCCGCAGGCCCCACTGCCCATGGCTGTCAGCCGGTGAGTTCCCCACTGGAGGGGTGGGTGCTCTAGGCCTGCCACTCGGACCCCTCTCGGAGAATCCCCCATCGCAGCCGTTTCTCCCAGGGACATCCCGGTTTGAATCCTGGAAGTTGTCCATTCCCACCCCATGGGGATCCTCAGTCTGCAGGAGAGGGGGCAAAGAATGGAGATGAGGGGTCTCAGGAAAGAGGGAGAGTCTGGCTCACCCAGTCACCCTCTGACACCTCCTTTCAACACAGGGGGCTCCCCCAGCAGCAACCCCAGCAGCAGCTTCTGAATCTCCAGGGCACCAACTCGGCCTCCCTCTTCAACGGTTCCATGCTCCAGAGAGCTTTGCTTCTGCAGCAGTTGCAAGGTATGGCTACGGGCCCTTTCTCACACCATCTTAGTGGTAGCTCCCCAGGAGCCCCATTGCAGGAAATCTCATCAAATCCACTCAGTAACCCTGAGAGGGAACTACTGTCAGTGTCCCAGTTTACAGATGAGGACACTGAGGCTCCAGGAGGTGGAAGGCCCTAAGTTGCTCAGCTGGATGCAGGTCTATCTGATCACAGAGGTGTGCCCTTGGCCATGGTGCTGTCTTTGTGGGCCGTGCTCAGCACAGTCCCGTGACATTCATATTAGATGAGATGATAGATGGAAAGATCTATGTTGACCACCCTTCTCCACATCCCATTTGATGGATGAGGAAGCTGAGGTCCACAGAAGGGAAGTCTTTTTCCCTTTTGCCCTGGAGCCACACAGCACAGGCAGTGGCTGAGCTAGACCAAGGCCTGGGCCTCCTGACTCCCTGGATCTCTGGGTGGGTGTCTCTAGCCCTGTGCATTAAGCTTGTGCCCTGGCCTCAGTTTCCCCATGCGGAGAGCAGTCTCTCAGTTCCTACTTCCAAGATGCTGCGCCTGATATATCAGCCCCTGCAGGAGTAACCCAGGGATCCATTGACCTGGGGCCAGCTCATTTTCAGGCCCAGCGCCTCCTACAGAGTGGGCATGGCTTGCTGGGTGGTCCCTCCAGGCTGGGCACTGTGCTGGGGCCTTTGCAAACCCAATTCCTTGAGTCTGCTGACAACCCTAAGGGGAGGTACACTCATGATCCCATTTTACAGATGAAGAAACTGAGGCCCAGAGAGGGGCCATGTGCCCAAGGTCACACAGCATGTAGATGTTGATTAGAGAGAGAGCTAGAGCCCAGGTCTTAGCACAGAGCTGCATTCTTAGACACCAGGCTATCCTGCCTCCCAGCAGGGCATGCAGCCAGGTCACAAGATGGGATGGTTGTCACTCTCCAGCCCCACCAGGGCCCCATGGGTGTGGCTGGTCCTGGGAGCTGACTTACAAATGATAGATGGATGGGTGCAGAGGTAAAACCACAGGGACCCATAATGTGTATATATGTATTTCCCCCTTTTTCTTTCCCACTTTAAAAGTCACACTCTTCAAAGAAATGCGAAAAAAAAATTTTATGGGCCCAGCACACTTCTGCGCTACTCTGCTATCTGAAAGAAATATTTTAAAAGGAGGATAAGAAAACCCAAATGGTCATATGTACACTCATCTCCTGAAGACAAAAGCCCCCGCAAGGTTTTGGTGGACTTCCTCCCATTTTTTTCTAGGCACAGACTTGGGGATTTGTTTATGATTGTGGTTACTGGTACACTCGAAAGGCTGCATCTTGTTTCCTTTCCACTGAGTAGAATGGCGTGCTCATTTACCACATGCCTTGACAGGCTCTGTAAAGAGTATTTTTAACAGGTGTTTAATATTCCACTGGAGGGACGTGCCCTCGCTTACCTAAGCTTCTCAGCTGTTTCTTTCTTTCTTTTTTTTTTTTTTTTTGGCTGTTTTAAATAACACTGGGATGAATATCATGTTTGAGATTATTTTCTTAGAATGGGTTCCCAAAAGTAGAATGACTGAGGGGCCAGCCTGGTGGCTCAACGGTTAAGTTCACACCTTCTGTTTTGGTGACCTGGGGTTCGTCAGTTCGGATCATAAGTGCGGACATGGCACTGCTTGTCAAGCCATGCTGTGGTAGGCATCCCACATATAAAGTAGAAGAAGATGGGCACGGATGTTAGCTCAGGGCCAGTCTTCCTCAGCAAAAAGAGGAGGATTGGCAGCAGATGTTAGCTCAGGGCTAATCTCCCCCCCCCCAAAAAAAAAAAGTAGGGTGACTAGGGGTGGGGGTGGTGGTGGATGTTTTATGGCTCTTGATAAGTATTGCTAAATTGCTTTCCCAAAGGACTGGACCAGTTTGCAATGCCACCAGCCGCGTATGACAGTGCCGGTCTCCCCATGCCCACAGCAACATTGGGTATTATATGCTTTTCTTTATATATATATACACATAGTTTATTAATTTGATTGGCAAAAAAGCTCTATCATTACTGTGTTCATTTACATTTCCTGGAGTGCCAGTGCAGTTGTACATTTTATATTTGTCCGTTAAACGTTCGTATTTCTTTTTGTGACTTGTCCATGTCCTTTGTCCATTTTTCTTTTTGAGTGTGCCATCTTTTATCTCACTGTTTTTAAGAGCTGGTTGGCGTTCTCGCTCTGCACATATGTGTATATGTGTTCAAGTTGATGTTAACTGAACACGTGCTGTGTACCAGGCACACTTGTGTATCTCCTGAGTCCTCATAAAGCATTGCGAGTCAAGCTCTGTTATTATGCTCATCTGACAGTTGAGGAAACTGAGCCTAAGAAGGGGACTAACTTGCTGAAGGTCACAGAGCTTGTCCTGTAGAATCTGGACTTGAGCCAGCTCTCACAGCACCATGCCATTAACCCCTGTGCTTCCTGTCCCCTCACCAGGGCAATGATTTGAACTGTCTTTTATGGCCTGAGTACTGGGCCTCCAAGTCAGATGGTGTCTGCCCTTAAGGAGTTCCCTATGTGCTTGGGTAGTGGGCAGTGGGAAGCAGCTGGTCCTAGAACAGGGAAGCCAAGGCCTCTGGGGACACAGAGAGGGTCTGGGAAGGCCTCCCACAGGAGAAACATCTAAAGGAGGAATGAAGGATGACTGGAGGTAGTGGAAGCAGAATGACTCAGGTAGAAGGACAGAATATGCAAAGGCCCAGAGGCAGGAAGAACCCAGGCTTGTTTGAGGGACTCACGGGAGCATGTGGCTGGAGTATCATGGGGGCACATGTGGGGAGAATGGCAAGAAAGGAGGTTGGGGAGGTGGGCAGGGCTAGACCTTGCCTGGTGCGGAATGGGCTTTGTTCCTGAGCAGATATGGAAGGGTTTGGGGGTGGGTGGCGAAGTCAGAGTGTGGTTTTAGAGTGATCACTGTCTGCTGCTATCTGGTGCCAAAGCTGTGGCGGAAATTCAGACGGGATGAGGTAGCTTTGGAAGGGAGGCAGGAGTGGAGACGGAAAGGGGAGTCAGGCTGGACCGGGAAGAGGGGTAGGAGACAGGCTTGACAGGATTTGGTGATGGCTTGGATGGGGGGGGGTAAAGAGAGGGGAGAATCAGGGGGACCCCAAAAGCCTGCCTGGGGCCAGTGGGTGGACAGTGGTGTCCCTCCCAGAGACCCTGGAGAAGCTACTCCTCCACTTTGTGTCTCTATTTGGTCATGGATAGAGATGATAATACCTCCCTGATG